TTGCCTTTCCTGTGCTCGGGACGGGTGCTGTCCTACAATTTCCTCACAGCGTGGCATCCAGGGTTCTGCTGGAGGAGGTTGGTGAATTTGAAAAGGACAGAATCAACAGTCCACCTTTCCTGGTGCGTGTTGTGATTCATCCCAGTGACAAAGATTCAAGCAAGGTAAAGGCCATTTAATTAAAGTCCTTTGTTTCAAAAATAAAAATAAAAATGTTTAGCCACTAAATGTGTTGGTCAGTGGACAACCTTTCACTACCAAGAAGAAATACAACTGACTACTAAAAGAGCATCACTTTGTTTTTATCTGCAGGCCTTCCAGTCTGTGCAGGGAAATCTGCATCTCAGAGGATTCACAAATGATATTAACCCAGATCAAGGTTGGGAGGTTTTCATTTTGAATTTTAGAATAATTAAAAACATGCGTAAATTTCTTCTTTAGAAATTAAATGAATTTATCCTTAAGACCACATTAATTATCTGATTCCAAAGAGGCAGGAAAACACCACATAGGCTAAAATTAAGTGTAACACACTTATGTAGAAATAGATATTTTTATTATTTTTTAGTTTTTTACAATATTTTATCTGGAGGCAGAAAGTTGTTTATTGCTTTATAAAAAATTGTGAAAATTGTGACTATTTACTGTATCATATTTAACCATGACTCTTTCTTATTTAGAGTCCTTTTACCGCCATGTCTCTCTGTCTGATCATGAGGTCACAGCCATGTTGGGTGCGGTCAAGGTTCAGATGCTCCGTGGAGACATCTTAAATGGGGGCACCGATGTCATTGTCAATACGACTGACTTCTCTCACTCTTCTGGTATAATCTAAATGTTGTATTTATTACTGAACAAAAAATGTGAAAACAGGACCACAAGAGATTTGTTTGTATTTTGCTTAAACTGAAAATGACTCTAGGTTTATACCTAACCGTGTCTGCAGGTGTCTCCAAAGCCATTGTGACCGCAGCAGGGCCATCAGTCCAAGCAGAGTTAGCTCAAAGTAAGTCTTAGGAATAACACTAAACACTAAACATCTTTATAGATTTGTGTTTTTGATTGATTATTCTTTCTTTTTTCTTTCTTTCTTTCTTTGGGAAGGAATTCCATCAGACTGGATGTTCACCACAGGGCCTGGAATGCTGGGATGCAAGGAAATCATCCACGTTGGCTTTAAGTGTGATCCTCAGTTGATTCGCAAGTACTGCAAAAAGATACTGGTGCACTGTGAGAACAAAGGCTACAACTCTGTGTCCTTCCCAGCCATCAATACGGGTTAGTACTCCATACCTGTGTGTATGCTGATATATGTATATGAGTCTGCAAGTGGAAGTGTTTATTTCTGCATCTTATTAGCAGCAAATTAGTGCCCACTGAAAAAATGTAGAGCATATAATCAATTATTGTAACATTGTATAATGCACATTATTTTCTCAATAACTGTCTTATATCCTATCAGGAGTGGGGGGTATGTCCTATGATAAAGCTTGTAAAGCCATGCTGGATGGGATAGCTGCAGCTATTGCAAAGATGAAACCAAGTTCTCTCTCACTCATTCGCATTGTCATCATGGAACAACCAGTCTTCCAGGCTTTCAGGTTTGAAATAAAACATCTTCACAACATGAGAGTACATTATACCATAAGCATTGTTTTCCCAATCATATTTCATCGTTTAAATCACCCGCTTTGTGTTTGCAGAAAAGAGCTGGAGAATCGCTTTGGACAAATAACTCCTTGCCGCATCAGTCTGAGAGGTTTGTTGTAATTTAAAATTTTGGAAAGTTTCCTTCTGCACTCCCCTTGAACATTAATGAAGATTTCTTTGTTAAACCAGGACTCTAATGAAAAATTAAAAACTATTCAATGAGCATTAGAAATCTTTGACAATTGCCAGTTACAAAAATTAACTGACAATTACAGCTGTCAGCAGTTTTCATGAATCTAGTACATCTCAGAAACTTTCTAAAGAAATTCATGTAATAAGTATTCAAGTTTAAATGCAATTTTTTTTCAGATGTGAGAATAACTCAAGTAATATTCCTTTGATTCATAGCGAGCTAATGTCATAGGTCGTATATAAAAGTTGGACTTAGTTACTTTGACAGTACTGACTGGGTTCCAGACTCAGCCTCAATGTTAGTGTTTTGGCACTGTCCATGTTGGGTTTAAGAGCCAAGAATGACCATATTTAGCTCAGAGGTTAAGTAATAAGTATGCTTATGAAGTAATTAATGTTAAGTACCAGGATAAGAAATACTAGAATTTCACCCACTGATATCTTGAAATAGCTCTACAGCTACCACACAGCAATTCCCACGTTTTGTCAACAAATTCGCCAAAAGAAGCCACCATGACAGGGATGAAGGCCCAGTTCAGAGATTTAAGCTGGTGGTGATGAAACCTTGTAGACAGGACTGTAGACAAAGTTTCCACAATCTATAGATGTTTCTGGTATTAAACAGCAATATTGTATCCTGCTAGCTTGCACTCATTAGCAAAAGAAAACATTAGCATTAGTAACCTGTGCTTTAGGAATATTGAAAATTTAAAGCAACTTCACAGCAGTCTATCTACCTTATTTGATCCTGAACTGCAGTCACAAAATGAGTAATAGTGACCCTAGAGCAGAAGCTGATACTCACTGGGTATTTTCCACTGCCAATATATTTGCTTTTTTTTTTCATTTTCTAGAAAAAGCCAAACAAAAGCTCAAGAAGTGGCAAAAGAAACAATCAAATTTCTTCTCTTCAATGGGACCACAAGAAAAAACCTTTGCCTCCTCTAAACCTCAGCCAGCTATGATACGTGTAATAAGCTGTGATCCATACATCACCAAGACCATCCAAAGTGAGCTGGAGAGGATCCTGCAGAAGCACCTGATAAAGAGGGAAGTAGACGTGCAGGAATTTTCAGCGCTTGAGCCCATGGAGCTCGAGGCTGTGCAGGCAAAAATCAGAGTCTTTGGAATAAGCCTGGAGCACAAGAAACATCAACAGAACGCTGGAAATACGGTCAGACCAGAAGCAAGAGCTCAGACGGGGTCAGGAAAAGACGTCTATGTGCTGGAAGGCCTAAAAGAGGACGTTTTGAGTGTCACTGAACTCATAGGCAGAGCAACCCAAGAAGCACTTTTTAAAGACTTTCAAGATAAAGAAGAAGCAATAACAGCTCTAAATGTGCAGTGGTCTTTGAAGGGCATAAATGGAGCCTGGCAGGAGGTGAGTCTGCGTGACAACTACATGTTGGAGTATGCTCATACGCGGGACAAAATCTTTGTTGACATAGATGCGCCAGATGGCTCAAGAGTGACTGTAAACCTGAAGACACAAGAAGCCACAAATGGGGTGACAGGAATGACATACAAGCTAAAAAGGATTGAGTCTGGAGGTTTGTCACATTTTCTAGGTTCTCTTTTTTTGTTTTGTTTTGTTTTATTTTAACCATAGTCACCTGTGTTAAGACCATTCCCTTTTGTGATGTAGAAACTTTGCCTCACTACTTATTTCAGGAAAGTATCTTGCCTTAACCATATGGTTCATTTGTTTGGTTTTTACTTTAGCATTGGAGATGCCAGTTAAATGGGATCCTATGCAGGAAGAATTGTTTATGAAGGTAGAACTGCAGCCTACCTCACAGGAATACCAGGAAATAGCCCAGGGTTTCCTGAAAACAGCCAAATTCAACATTTGCAAAGTGAGTATTCTTACAAGAAATCATGCTTGCTAAGATATTTTAACATAAAACGCACCGTACATGAGGCAGTTGACTAATTTGTTTTCTGACCTCAGATTGAGCGTGTGCAAAACCTCTACCTGTGGAACGCCTACAGTGTGTGTAAGCAGCGTATATTTGCCAAGAATGGACAAGCAGAGCTAGGTGAGAAGACTCTCTACCATGGCACGACAGCAGAGTCATGCCAATGCATTGAACGGGACCGATTTGACAGGGGTCACGCAGGAAAACATGGTAAGGCATCTTTTATAATATGTCATTTAAATCCCTCAGCAAGAAAGGACATGCTCCTAAAATGTATCCTAATTTTTGTTGGGTTTTTTGTGTGATTTCATTACAGCTGCAAAGTATGGAAAAGGAGTTTACTTTGCTGTCAATGCAGCATATTCAGCTAACGGATTTTCCCCAGCAGACAAATCAGGCTTAAAGAGGATGTATGTTGTTCGTGTCCTGACTGGCCGTTACACGGTCGGTAAGAGCAGCATGATTTCACCTCCTCCTCGAGGCTCAGATCCCACTGACTGCTACGACAGTCTGGTGGACAACCAGCAGCAGCCCAGCATGTTTGTGATCTTCCATGATGACCAGGCCTACCCAGAATACCTCATTACCTTCAAGTGAGAAGGACTGAGGGAAGTCATGCATCAACACTGTGGGGTCAAAGAAATGTACTATACTGTAAATGTTTCTACTCTGAGTCAATGTTAGATCTTGTTATTTAGATTTTGTATTAAGCAATGTATCCCGGTAATACAGATGTAGTAGTTATTTAAAGTGAATAAGATTTCATCTCAGCTGACTGCGTATTTGAGAGATTTTTAAGAACGGTTGTGAGTCATAACTTTGCCTCATTTGCTCCCAGCAGCCATTAAGTTTCTACAGTACGTAGTTCTTGTGATGTGAAAAATGACTCCCTCTTCTTTTGTTCTTTTTTTTTATTACAAATGTTCCTGAATAGAACCGTTCATTTCAAATAAAAGACTAAGTTTTAATTCGCATAGATACCATAGCATAGACAATTGTGGGTTTTTTTTGCATTTCCCACAATAATTACATAATTACTTAGAAATAGGTAAGGATTAAGAACATAAAAAAATACTGTATTTATAAGACTTGGGGGGGGGGGGGTTCATGGTTATTAAAACAACTTTATTAGATGGAGTACATCTTTGTCAACCACACAAAAAAAACAAATACAACATTTTCAGAAGAGAAAATAAAGTGTACAAAAAATGACACGTCACATTTTTGTCTGATGCCACTTCACATTGGAAAAAGCAAAAATCCAGTGAATGTGCAGTACTTATTTTCATTATCACTGATCTGTTGGTTTTCCCAAAGACGAACATTGACCTTGTCTCTAACTTGTAGCATTAAGACTGCACTGTTTGAGGCACTGATGGGATGAGCCTGACTGTGACCATACCATGATACAATCTGGTTTCCATTGTGGTACAGACTGCCACCACTGGTTCCAGTTTTTCTTCCCCACCGGAAAGAAGAAAAGGTGAAATAATAGACTCCTTGAACTGGTGCTGTAAAATACCCTGCATCGAAAAACAACCAGAAAGTAACAGCAATTAATCCAATAATGCTCCTGCTGAATAGAACAAACTGAACAGAAATACTTTTTAGAGATTATAAAATTCTCAGCAGCAGAACAGGGGGAAGGCACGTCCGCACACACACACAACAGCTATCTCACATAACTACCTACCACTACACACTACTACACCACAGGCACACACACACACACTTTTTTCGTTGTTTTGCTTCTTTCTGTCACACGGGTTCATAACCTGTACTGTGTTACTGTTAATAAGTTGTCTCCGAGGCGTGTGTTTATCTGTTTCAGAACAGTTGTTCTTTGTTACAGCCAGTAGGAGTGTAAAGAAAATCTTGCTGGGCCGCACATACGTTGTCGTCTGTGGGTAACAGCAGCTGAGAATGCTATACTCCTTTTTTTGACGTTGTCTCCTAAAACACCAGAAAATTACTATTTTAGTCTCTTGTTTTCCTTCTTAAATGTATTTATTTCAATATAATATAAGTTCACATATAGACTAAGAATACTTTATCAGTTTCTCATCAAGATATCTTTGAATATGTTTCACTTATTTTATATACTTTTGTCTACGATTTTCTTGTTTAACCTTCGACGACCTTTTGGTTATTTATACTTTAAATGTGTAGTCTGAGCTTCAGAATCGTGTTTAAAACCACAGCTCGTACATACTCCGGGTCAGTTTTCTGCGTTTTTGTTGTCAATTATCCAACAGCAGTGAAGCTCACAAGAACTGAAACTTTACTAGAATAATAATACCATCTGTATTTCACCAGATCTGGTTTGAGCCTTGGTTCGATTAATTCTGAGCTTTAGTATTTAGCCAGTATTTAATCAGCAGAAAACAGTCACCTTTCACCTCAACTAAGTATGAATTCAATAATATCAGAGAGAGATGAGACAAAAAGAGAAAAAAAAGTGTAATGCGTTAGGGCATATAAACATGTGGGGAATTAAACAAGGGGAGTGGAAAAGAATTGGAGATCCTCCAGCAGCCTGAGCACTAAGCTTTATAAAAAAGGAAAGTATTAAACCTAATCTAGAAGAGAGAAGTAGACAGTGTACTATACCTGACACCTGAAACACAAATTAGAAGCTGGTTCATAAGAGACAGGCCTGAGAGCTGAACGCGCTGCCTCCCATTCTACTCACAAACTCAGAACCATAAGTTAGTCTGCAGCCTGAGACTAAGTACTCTGTTCGGACAATATTTGCTTTCTGGTTTTTTTTTGTGACAAATAATTTGTATGGCCGGTGATGTTCTGTGTGACGGTTTATTTTCAATTTGCAATTTCTGTGGTGTTACACTGACTAATACCACATGTCTGAAGAGAAGCTAAAATAGAGAAGAAATCTTTTCTGGACTAAGCACCACCCCCACCTACTCCCACACCTTACGCTCGAACTCCTCCCTAATGAATTTTAATTTTTCGTTCGCTTTCTCTCATCTGGTCTTGTCAGTTATAATTTTGACACATTATAGTAGTTGCCGACTAACTACCAGGATTGGCCTTGTTTTGGTGTAATTTCAACGAGATCACTCAAAACATCCGAGTAAATAATAGAGACTTTATTTGTAAAAATAGACTTCATGAAACACGTTACTATACTCTTGGGCCGGCCTCCCAAAATATTCGACCTTGAATAGTTCATTATTGTATTGGGGCCTATTCTCATTTTTCAGCCTTAATGTTGTTTAGTTACTCAGAATATCGTACCTGGTTTTCATCATTTGTTTTACGACATTGTACCACTCGGGGAGCTTCAGTCGCAGGGTGTGTGGGTTGTGAAAGTGCAGACCACCTTTCTTTCTCACTGTTGGCGCTTTCCAGCCTTTCTTGATTGCGGTGTTTTGTTCTTTTTCCTTCAGAGCCCCAGTGGCTTCTAGTCGTTCACTTCAGCACCGATATACGTTCCGATTGTTTGGGTGGTGGTTTCCACATCAGGTTGGTTGGGTCCCAGTTTTGTCCGTTTTTTGGGGCGTCATGACTGGTCCTGATTGTTGGGGCTGTTGTTTCAGACCCTGGGTCAGCTGACACATCGTTATTGTTCTCGGCCTTAGTATCTTCATATGAGAGCTCAGTGATCAGGTTCTGATTGATTTCATTCTGATCACCCGTTTCCTCACATTCAGATAAACCAGCAAGTAAACAAATAAGAATAATTACTGTTAATCTCTCCATTTTCCAGGTTAGATGGTATTTCTCCGATTTGTGTGTTTCACTGATGACCACGGTGTAAAGAACCTATTTATAAAAGGGTCTGGGTTAATTATTAGAAATAAAGTGATGAAAAACATCATATAATCTTATGATGATGGAATAAACTTTAACCTTTTTCCTTATTGCCAGTTTGTTATTCAGGACTTTTATGAGTTAAATAAAGCATTGGAAATGGAATATACATTTATCACACTCACCAGATTACAAACAGAAAACGTGACTTTATCTTTGACCTGCTTTTTATCTGCACGTGGAATGGGAATAGGGTTGTAGGAGAAACAAGGGGTTGGGTAAAAGTAATTTAAGAGATATAGAAACTATGATAACAGCATGACCACGTTTTAGCTCCTCTTTGTTTTTGCTTATCCCCATGTAAAATATTAACTATTGAAAATGGTTTTTTTTCTTGTGTATGTGTTGTTTGATACTGCAAATCAATTTCCCATTGAGGACAATAAAGTTACTATTGATTATTGACCACTGATATTGGTGTGTCTTAGATATAAAAAAAAACTATGTACCGCATAGATTGGTGACATTTGTTCATGAAAGTACATTTAGTTTTCAGCCATAGACTGGTTGGATGTTTATACCACTTGACATCTGTGTCTGTCCAGGGTTAAGATTAGAGTTGAGTTTTGTTTTGTACAATCATCACAGCCCAAAGCTTACACCCAAAGCCTAACTCTAACTCTAGATATGGCACTTTTAAGATGGCAGATCTTTTATATAATTCTTTATGATACCTTTTTGCAAGGGTATTTATTCATTTAATATATGAGTGGTAACCATCAACCAACCTTAAAACCACCAGATTCACATTGTATCTATTTTAACGTTTTGAATTACAAAACACTGCAAATTTAAGCAGTTTTACTTAAGACTCAAAATTTTAATACATAGCATTTAGAGACTACTGCACCAGCAATGTTGTGGAAATCTAAGACTAGTATCTCTTACTGTCTACTAAAGAGATTATGATAACAAATCGAATAAGTCAATAGTGCGCATCTGTTTTAATGTTACTTATTATTAGTACTCTATGCATCCCCCTGTCAATTACGTGATGTTAATTCAGGTCTGTGCAGTATTGTACAATTTTCCCACTGCAATTAGATCTCCCAGAGATTATGCCATCAAATCCTTCCTCCTCATTGTGTATCAATCCCTATTTCTAAGAAAAAAAAGTTCCATTACTGCAAGTAACTGGAGAACTGTAAAATATTTTCTCTTTAATAATCACTAATAGAACCTAACTATATTTAAGGCCAATTGCTGTCATTCAGTTTAATACCTGTTTAATGTGAAATGTTTGTAGCAGAAAAAAACTCTATTCTCCTTATTCTGAATCAGTACAAAGCATGTGAAGCCTCACTTGAAATTAAACCTATGTGACCCAGTAGCTATAAATAGCTGCTTGTTTATGCAGAAAGTGAACTTGAGACCAAGACAGAGAACGACAGAGGGGATTTAAATAGGAAGTAGCAAAAATCATTAGAACAGTATTTTTTTTTTTGCTGGATGGCATAAGTAACTGAAAAGACAAAAGTAGCTATTGCTCAAAAAGAAAATAACCAATGACATGGAGTTTACAAGGCGTTACTTGCCAATGGAGTGGGAAGAACGGTGGAGGAGAGAGAAGGAGAGAAGGAAAAGAGTTGTTGAAGAAGGTGGTGAAGGTATAGAACAGGACAACCGGGAGCTACGAAGAATTGTTGCTTACAATGATTCGAGAATGGGCTTGACAAGTAGGAGTGACAAAAAAGAGACTCGAGATGGAATGAACGGTACTAGTCAGGAGGGAATTGCGGAGCACATAAGCGCTGAAAGCTTGGGAGCTGAAGAGAATAAAGTCCAGGCATGCCACAACAAAACCTACCCTAAAGAGGTGTTTGTAGCTCTGAAAGAATTCTTGGATTCATCTCTTCTTACAGACCTGACATTGACAACTGAAAATCAGAAAAGCTTCCAAGTGCACTCCCTTATCTTGGCTGCTGTCAGCGGCTTCTTTCTGGAAAGACTACAGGATAAAAGTGAGGAGAAATCTGACAATAGTGAGGACAAAGATGGAGTCCAGAGGTGGTCAATGCAATTGAGTTCAGAGGTTGACCATATTGGGCTTCAGGCTGTTGTTGAGTTTGCCTACACTGGGCTTGTGTCATCTTTGAACAATGATAATATGGCCCGGATCAAAGCTGCAGCTCAAGTCCTTGCAATTCCAAGACTTGTGGACATCTGCAAAAACAAGGAAAGAAAGGAGAACAGTGAATGTTTCAAGAAAGAAGCACAAACCATCTCTGCTCTAGAACAAATAAAAACTACTCTTCAGTCCATTGAACAGTTGCGGGCAGATAGAGTGGGGTGTGATGTCATTTTGGACGTGGATGGAACTTTTTTCCATGGTTAGTACAACTGCTTTTGATATCCTAATGAATGCATCATAGTGGTCAAAGTTTAAGCTTTTCTTTTGTCTCTCTTCAGTCCACAGAATTGTTTTGGCAGTAAGCAGTGATTACTTCCGTGGCATGTTCACATGTGGAATGAGAGAATCCCATCAGAGTTGTGTTGCCCTTCCTTTCCTGTCTACATGTGAATTAGAGGCTCTTATTGGCTACTCATACAGTGGGATCCTTCTACTTAGCTGGGACTCTGTTTTTGAGATTACCTGCATGGCGCTTCAGCTTCAATTCCAATCTGCTCTATCAATTTGCCTCAACTTTATGAAAAAAGAGATCCAGGCAAGCTCCTGCCTGGATGTGGCATCTTTTGCTGAAGCATATGAAATATCAGAACTTTTTGAGGAGGCCAATGACTTTGTGTTGAGGAACTTTATGGAAGTATCAGGCACAACAAAGTTTCATGACCTACAAGCAGAAAAGCTTTTAAGCTTCCTTCGCTGCGATGGCCTTTGTGTACCTTCAGAGTTGGCTGTATTTCGAGCCGTAATCTCATGGATTGAGGCTGATCCCGAAGAAAGATTGGCCCATGCAGGCTTACTCATGACTGGAGTTCGCTTCCCCCTCATGACCTTTCGAGAGTTCAGAGAGGTTAGAGCCATTAATCTACGCATGGAGTGCTTTGGCAACAAAGAGGTGGAACTTTATGGTTCAGCACTTAAAGAATTTGGTTTCAGCCTTCCAAAGTCCCAGGATCACTGTCGGATCAGGCGACCAAAAGATACTCTAGTTCTGGTTGGAGGAGACCAACTGAATCCAGATGTTGGTCAGCGCATACCGAGCAGGGAAGTGTGGTTTGCAAACTCCCTACGCAGTGGCACAGGGTTGGTGAAGGACATTGAATGGAGGAGATTAACTGAGATTCCAGATAAACCAAAGTTTAGGCATGGAGTTGCCGTAATGGATGGGAAGCTGTATGTGATTGGAGGGTGCTTCTTTTATGCAAAGGATGACATTATGAAATCTGCCTACAGGTAAATAAAAACTGTTAGTCCATGAATATACATCTTCTTACATTCACAAAAACAGATTGTTACATATATCACATTTTATTTTTTTTATCGCCTCATGCTAGTTATGACCCAGTGAATGATTACTGGAAGAGGCTGGCAGACATGCAGGAGTGCAGAAGTAACCTCTCAGTCGTGGTACGTGAATCGCACCTTTATGCCATTGGTGGAGATAAAGACATCAACACCAACGTAGACAGTGTTGAGATGTACAACCCAGACACTGACTCCTGGAGGTAAAATTAGTTATTTAAAATGAAACAGAATCTTGAATAATGGATGATGGATATTTTAGCTGGGCTTGAATAATATATCTGTTTTTAAATTGTGGACATACCAATCAGCCAACAAAGTTAAAATACTGAGGCAATATGAAAAGAGTCAAGTTTTATAATAGTTATAATGAATAGAAGTTTTTCATGCTTTACCCTTAAATTCAAATGCAGTACCATGATTTCCACAGCAGATGTCAGTCTTGCCCTTGAATTATAGTATTCACCAAAAAATGGTTTTTTCACACTACTGTAATCCCAGAAATGTCTCATGTTTTAAAGAAATTCGTATTTTGCTGTTCTGGTTTCACCAGGTGGAAAGTTACACAGGTATGGTGGTGCATCTTAAACAGAAATGCAAGTTAAAGAAAGCAAAACAACATAAATATTGTCTATTACATCATTACAGCATTCAGTTATAGCATTTGTGAGTTAAAAAATGAAATCTAAACATTCAGACTTTAATGAGGATTCATCCGAGTTGCTGCCTTCACCTCGTCCAAAGTCATGCTGTCATCACAGAAATGTAAACTGGAAGGTTCATGGAATATGCAGCTGAATCACTTTTTGTTTATATTTCACATGATGCTCATTTCTGATAAAGTTGTTTTGTTAAAGTTACATATATGTCAAGTAATGCCATTTTGTGGTATATTGGATTCAAGGCAGATAAAAATATATATATTTTCCTTACAACTGTCCATCTGGACATGACTGCCTGGCTTCTCTTGTTTCACAGCTTTGTCCAACCGCTGGACCTGGCTCTGAGTGGCCATGCTGCTGCTATCATTAATGGAGAGGTTTTCATATCTGGAGGTTTCAACTGCAAATATGAGTGCCTTGTTTCCACATGTCTGTACCACCCAGAGAGGGGAACCATCTACCTGGCAGACATGACCTATGATAGAGCCCAGCATTGCATGGAAGCCCTACAGAGTCATCTATATGTTGCCGGTGGAGTCTGTAACCTAAGGAAGTTTTACACTGATCAACTAGTTTGTGAGGTATATGATACTCTGGCTAATTGCTGGACTACTTTTGCGTCACTGCCCATGCCCCATGTTGGTGCAGCCTCCATTGTTATGGAGGAGAAGATCTATGTACTGGGAGGGTATTGCCAGGATGACTACAGTGAGTCTGCACTGGTCCACCGCTTTGATCCCATCATGCAGAGATGGGAGACCATGGGCAAATTGCCTGGAGCTGTTACAGACATCCGAGCTTGTCTGATGCACCTGCCCCAGCACCTCAGACAGTAACTGTTTTATTGAAATGATACACTCCTCAATTAGGCAGTCTGTTTAAACACTGAAATTACTGCAATAATAGAAGTAAAATATTCAAATGTGGATATCAAAGGCCTCAGTCACTCAGGCCTACAGACCAGTCAGCAAACCTTTTGATAACCATAAGTTGCTTGGAAAAAATATGTATTCTCCAACCAGTTGGTGAGTGGTTGCTGGAGGTTGCTGGCAGTTGCAAAGAGGATGCTGCACTAAGGCTGTTCCTTATGACTATTTTGGTTAAAACCAGTCAACCATGGTTTGGATAGAAGATGTTGAGTTGTTTACATGTATTGTTTAACTTGCAGAGCAGTAGTAAGACTTGAAGTGCAATGAAAACCAGAAGCAGAGACCATTTGTTTAAGTGAAAATTACGCCTTATTGGTTAAATCAACACATTTCAAAAGGCACAAATTTTACTTTGAAGGCAAGTGTTCCCTAATTGAAATATGTGTTGGAGCTTTCATGGTTTCACTATCATACAAAGAGCAGTTGGAGAGTGTTTGCAGATAAGTCAGCATCTTTGATATAAAACTATAAGAAATACAGATAATCTGCTACTGATCAAAGTAATTGCAAGAAAGTTTTTAGTACAGCACCTCATATCTCTTTGTGACCAAATTTCCCTTGCAGCTGCCAGTAGCCTCAAGCAACAATTTCAACAGGCAGTCTTTTTCCCCTAGCAGCTTGCAATTATTAGGGGTTCACTGACTGGTGTTTTTCAATCAGCTTTAAAGTGACTGCCATCAACCTTCATGAACGACTTACGAGTCATAATTGCAACCAGTGGTACAAGAAGGTTGCCAGTATCTAGTATCAGTATCTAGGCCTGTGTGTGTGAATAAGAATAATATATATGTAAGTGATAAGAAAATAGATGGAGTTTATCATTTTGAAATGAATGACTACTTTGCCCACAGGCTAATCGTAATAGCTAATTCTTAATAACTGTTAACTCTCACTTGGTGCAGCATTCGTGTTTCAGGTTTTCCACATCAGGTTGTCATGTTCTAGGTTCTTTATGTTTAGCTCACCTAGTTTAGGTTATAGCTTAGTTGTGCCTTTGCCTTTTGTTTTTGTACTGTTTTACCAGCCTTCAATAAACAGCTCGCCCTTTGTTAAAATCAAGTTTAATTATCACGTGTCCTCACTTTGGTCCACCTCCTCACTCCACACAGTCTGCTTCTGCAGATAATGACAGTGCACAAACTTGACTGGTAGTGTAAATATGATAGTTTATCTCTCTCTCTGATGGGGGGCTGTCAAGTTAGAATAAGCAAAAATTAAGTGATACAGAGTTGATGAAAGCATTACAACCTAAACTTTTAGATCTGAAGAATTTTCATTGGCACCACATGACAGCGACACTTCGAATGATAAATGATCTGGTTTCATATTCTTACAGGCTTAGCTATTCAAATCTTTCCAGGAAATGACCATGTGCTTTCCAAACCATCCCTATCTCAGTCCAAACAGATCAAACTATCTGAGAGTCTAAGATCATTCCTTCTGTGAGATTCTAAAAGTTTATGTAACAGCCGAATGCAAGACAGTGAATTATATTTTTGTTTGTTATAAACTTACACTACTAGGGAAAGATATAATGCTTAGTTGCCTTAAGGTTAATGCTGTTGTGATTTGAAGTTATATAGTACAAATAAAATTGAATTGCTGCTGCCTATAGTGCTGCTAATAGTGGTGTTACTGCCTGAGCTTGGGCTTTGACTCAGCTTGAAAGCTTTGGTTTTTCCATTTGTGTTTCAACTTACTATATGATTACTATTAAAAAGTTTTGACTCCAATATGTGATGATTCCTAATGTTTTTATTAAAAAAACAATTAAACCTCCTGTACTCACAATCAGTGTCCATGAATGTAAAATGTTGCTAAAATGTAAAATGCTGAAACCTTTTGGTTATCCTTTTATGCCAACCTGCGGTACGGGAAGAAACAGTAGGACGATCTAAGTTAAATACACAAAAAATGTTCAAAATTGCTTTAAAAAAGAGAGTTGAACCTGGCCCTTTTAGATTTAAATTTGACCAAAGTTAACCAAATTCGACCTGTACAACCAAACAGATTTCTCATCGAAAGCAGACGATTTAGTATCGTACAAAATAATAATAGTTGATAAGAAGAAAGAAGAGGGGCAAATCCATGACAAAAAGGAAACACTGAAACATTTTTCACATGGCTAAACCAGAAAAACGAGCTCTCCACAGGATGATGTTGACCCAATAGATTTGCCAGTGATATCCAGTCCTCCAAATTCCCAGGCGCCCATCTGGGAATGCCGATTCTTCAGCAAGATGGCCCCTGAAGTGTAGCTGTGATAGTCAGTGTCATGAAGGTGAACTGGTGAACTATAAAGAACTGCTTGTGGTCAACAGAATTTCTTTTTTTCTCTAAATCATTTATGGAGAAAAAAAAACACTAGTAATTTAGTGGACTTCATCGGATTTATTTTAGTGTACATGCTGTAAAGCACTTAAAAAAATGTTTCTAGGCATAATATATTAATCAAACTGGTCCAAAGTCCTTAAAAAGTTTATTGTAGAAAATGTTGCTTCCAACATTGCTGTAGTTCTTTGATATTTCTTTTATGAACTTGTGAAATGTCAAGCAACACAAAGCAGATCATTTTATATTTAATCAGACAACCTTTTCATGACAACAAGCACAGCATACACATTAGTGTAAGTGTTACTAAGTATTATAATTAATTAGTAAATATGAATGTTAGTTTAGAAGAATTGATTTTTGTGTGAGATGTGTGGAAGTTTGTTTCTGTGCAAAGAAATAGATGCAAGCAGAGGTAAGTGTAATTTTGAGTTATGATTTCAAAAGTTTTGGTTATCATCTTAAAATTTTGAGTTCTCTAGCATATCGAGACACTGTGTGGAGAGATAGTCTCGATATGCTAGAGAACCCAGGTTACACCGTAACCGTACGTTACTAATTTAGTGCCATGAAATTCTAGGGTTTCAGCTTTATCTATTTTAAGTAATAAGAAACAAACTAAGTCGGGACTAAAAAAAACCTCGTAGTTCTTCAGGTGATTGTTGTTGTGATTCTTGTTTGTTGAGCCAGGATGTGGACAGAAAGGCGACACGGACATCAGTGAGTGGATGAAGGCAAAAGAGAAGTATTTGTATTTGAAACACAGTCTGGGGTTTGAAATCCACAACTCAGCTGCTTCACAACATGAATGTGGCGACCAATTGAACAGATTTTTTCATTGGATAAACACATTCAATGCTGGACCCATTTATCGCTTTCCGAATGCTATATTTTGCATAATGCAGTACTTTTCTTTTCTACTCCCCTAGAGCATTTAAAGCGCTTTATGCAACATGCCACATTCACCCAACCACTGCTTTTTATATTTGGCATGATCAAACCACCAACCCTCCAATTAGCAGATGACCCTGCATGATGCTCTACAGTCTGAGCTACAGCCAGGCTGGCTGGACAGAAAGAAAACAATATATTTCCTTTATTCTGTTGCAGGAATCTTGACAGCACCAGTGAATGGTCTCTACTCAGTTGCAGTAGTTCCGACTACCCTACTACTCTCACACTCACACAGCAGGTGCTATTCTTGTGAAGAATAATGTCAGTCAAATTTCAACATATGACAGCCCTTCAGCAGACGGCACTGGCAGCAGCAGCAATGCAGTAGCTCTGCTGGTTGCAGTTGATTGGGTGCACGTAGAATTGTGGGGTCAATACAGCGGTGTATAATAACCTAAACAGCCACAAAACCTGTTTTTTGTTTGTTTGTTTGTTTTACTCTTTCATGGTTTATGCATTGTCTTAAAATGTTAAAGCAGCATTAGTCATCAAATTGTGGTTGCTCGTTTTCCTTTTGTTTGCTTTGTTCATTTGTCTCTCTTAATTCTATTTTTTTAATACTTTTTCAACATGTTCAAAATAAAGATTCAATCAATCAATCAAATCTCTTTATCTCTGTGTAAACTTCTAATGATCTGACCTAATATTACCTCAGCACTTACCTGAATATGTGCACTTATATTATTAAAGGACTCAGTTCATTGTTGTTTATTTTCAAGTAGAATTTAATGCAAATATAAATTGAGAAACTTCTTCAGAATAATAAATGCAAAACAACCTTTTTGTGTACAGTTTTTACAGTGACAGCTGTTTTCACCAGCATCCCACCACAAAGTTTGGT